TCATCTGAACAGACTAATATGCCATGAGCTTAGACATTGGCCCTTCGGGTGTCTGAAGTCTGAGGCACTCTGGTAAAAGATAGAGAGAGAGAGAGAGAGAGAGAGAGAGAGAGAGAGAGAGAGAGAGAGAGAGAGAGAGAGAGACAGAGAGAGAATTCATGCCCTCAGTAACACGGTAATAGTGAGTAGTACATCGCTGTTTGTTCATCATAGTCCATGAATGGAATTAGTGCATTTCTGAGTTGATGCTGAATCTTTGCTATGCTGGTGTTCTAGTAAAATATATAGGCCTAATAATAATAATAATAATAGATAGCATTTAATTTGTATATCACAAATTCCCTCTCAACAGCAATCTGTATGCGTTTAACTATCTATACTATTACCCCAGTAGACCCGATAACATTCGTAAACAACCTGAACTTCCTGAGAAGCATACAGTGCAAGCTGCCATTTTATTGGCGCTGAAACACTAACAAACTGACAAGATCTTTTGCTGTCTATGGCTGGGTATCCATTCCCACCTGGGTGAAGTGAGGACAATTCGTGTAAAGTGCCTTCCCAAGAACACCATGTCAGGTCTCAGACTTGAGCCCTCGACGAACCCGCAACCTCACGATTACGACTCCGCTGGCCTAACCAAAATTCAAAGATTTCCCCACAGTGATAGAAAAAAATGTATCTTGTCTTACCTCAATGTTGGAGAATTCGATACCAACCGAGGTAATGGAGTCTTCAAAACATTGGAAAAGACTTTTGAAAGATGTTCATCATCATTGCCTTTCTCACCCTGGATCAGGATATAATAATAATAATAATAATAATAATAATAATAATAATAATAATAATAATAATAATAATAATATGGCTCTTTTCGTCTAAGCAGACGGTAAATTTAGCTTAAGATGGTCTCAAGGCTGTCTTCAAGCAGCTTCTTCCATGGCTATATAGGCCACGAACAAACACTTTCTGCCTTTCCCTATCCTGGGCTAGTCGCTTGATGTCTCTCCATTTCTTCCCACTTTTCTGTACATCCATTTCCGTGACTCTTCTCCAGATTCCACTTGGTCTTCCCCTTGATCTTTTACCCTGTGGGTTCCAATCTAACACTTTCCTTGTTATGCAGCTGCCTTTTGAAAGATGTTATCATTCTTTTATCTTCGGTAAAGAAACGTATCCCTTTTTTCTTTGATGCAGGGTCGCAACATTTTGTTCCATTGCGTGGACAAAGATGTTGGAGAAGATCTTGTGGAGTATTTGCTCAGTAAAAGTTCAGCGTACCTTGTTACTCAGAGAGTGGAGGTGAGATCAATTGTCCGTCATCTTTACCTCTCTGTTTTACAGTCTTTCTTTCCTACTTTCAATTTTTGTATTTCTTTCTTTTATCATCCTGCTCCCCCCTCTCTCACTCTTTCTCTCACTCTTTCTCTCTCTCTCTCTCTTTCTCTTTCTCTCTCTCTCTCTCTCACTCTTTCTCTCTCTCTCTCTCTCTCTCTCTCTCTCTCTCTCTTTCACTCTCTCACTCTCTTCTTGTCTCTCCCTCACTCCGTTTCTCTCTCGTTATATCTTCCTCCTCCCCCACTCTCTATTTGTCTTGCTCACCCTCTATTTCTCTCTCTCTCTCTCTCTCTCTCTCTCTCTCTCTCTCTCTCTCTCTCTCTCTCTCTCTCTCCTACTCCTCTTTTTCCTTCATTTTGCTTATTCAGTGTGTTATCAACTCTGTCTATCTGTTTATCTCTCTCTCTCTCTCTCTCTCTCTCTCTCTCTCTCTCTCTCTCTCTCTCTCTCTCTCTCTCTCTCTCTCTCTCTCTCCCTTTCACTGTTTGTCAGTCTGTATGTCTTTTTCATTTCTGTGTCTGTCAGTCTGTCTGTCTGTTTGACTGTCTGACTACTTGTGGGTATTTACCAGTTAAAAGACCCACCTGAACACATGAATATTTTTCTTTCGTAGAGCTAACAGTAACTTTATTGTCTTTATACCTTTAGACTACACTAAACTCCTCTTGCTGACAGTTAACTATTGGAAGAACCTCTACCTACAACCCGCTTACAAATACCCCAACAAACCTGCCACTATACTGTCTTCCCACTTAGCTCCTCTCGACACTTGTCTTGGCCCGATAGAATAGGCTAACACTAACAATGTCACCTTAACAGAGACTGTGCCCACCATTTCGGAACTTCACGGTGACCTTAAAGATGGTTCCAGTAGAGAACGGGATAAAGGGTGCCCACGTCCCTCATGACTCATTGGAGCAGAGGAAGATAGGACTAACGCAAACATTACATAAACGCAATCCCACATCATCACTCATCACCACCATTGTGTCTAAAATCATCACCGCTCTCAGATCAATAACTCACATCTATAATCTTGGAATCTCTATCTGTTATTACAGTTAATTGATATACCAAGTATGCACGTAATGCACTATTGGACACAATCATACGCACTTTTTTCTACTAATCAGATGGCGTTATTGTCATATAAATGGGCAAGAGATTTTTTTTTAAAACAAGCAAAAAAGTATTGGTAGAACCTGTTCTATGCAATGCTCTTTCGTTCTCATCATAATGCAGTCTAGACTATTTAAGGGGACCTCCCATGGTCAAGGAGAAGAGTGGCCATCTTGGACAGATGACCATCTCACACAGTGCCATTATGATGTAAACGATATACAAGGGAGGAAATAGGAAGTAGCTGTTTGTACTGGTGATTGTCTTATACAGGTAGCTGTCATAAAAGCTTTGTCAGAATCGAGCTTTTCTAAAACACAAAACAGAAAAAAACGCAACTTTTTTATACATCTGTTGTGTTATACAAGTTGATAGTGATCTGCAAGTTGATAGGACAAAATAGTCTGGTTCACTTTGGACAGTGGAGGCTGACCTTTTAATTTTCTCTTTTTTTCTTCTTTTTTTTTTTGGATGAATACGGTATAGATTTTTCTTAATGTACTTACATGAAAAATAATAAGATTTCGATACGTGACTTTTGATAAACACTATGATATGCCATAAAAAAAAACAATTGACCTTCTGATTTTTCTTTGATATATTGCATTAGCCATTTTGTCCCAAAGCTCTTCTTAATCGAATTTTGTTCTGTATCCTCAGCTGAATAAGTGTGCCCGTGACCTGGCACTAGAGTCTGGCTGTTTGTGGATGGTGCAGGCTATCGACACAGTAAGCTTTTCTTGTTTTTGAAGTTTTGGTTTAGTTTTTGTAAGAGTTTTACGGCACTTGCAACACAATAAGGTCATATAGGTGCCGAAGATTAGAGGTGTTTCAAGAGAGTAACAAACACAATAAAAGAAGGAGGAGAGATCAGGACGATAGATGTTTGATAGGAAAGAAGGAGCAAACCACACCAGAGCACCCGCCAACCACCCACTTTTTGAAGTTTAACGCTTCTAGTCGTTCAGCAAGCTAAGAGGAAATAGTACAGAAAGAACAATGTGAAGAACGAGTTTGGCATGTTCTGGTTACAAATTCAACTACGTGAATCCTTTTTGAAAGGTCAAATTTGTAATATTATATTGAGCCATAGTTGTCATCTAACAATGAGTATTTAATAATGATACAGTATACAGGACTGTAATGTTTATTATTGTTTCTTATTTTGTTGTTCTTAGTGCAGCAGCCAGTGGGAGTGTGTGTTTTGGTCCCAGGCTATAATACAGATGACAGAAATGTTTGTAACTGTTGGTAAAATCGTTACTATTATATGTCAGAAAAAGACAGAAAAAGCATCTAATTTTTTTAAAACAATACCAATTTAAAAGAAATCCTTCTAGCATTTAGTACAGAAAAGGTATAATTAATATTATTGTACGTCTATTTTGACATGGTTCCTATTTATTCTACAGGCGGTGATGAAATGGGTGTATCAAGAAGAAGGTTTGAACCGTCAGATTATGGTACTCCACGGCTACCAACACATACCAGCTGCTCTTCAGGTATTTTACCTGGCTCAGGACATTATTTGGTATTAAATAGGAAGCAAGTTGTGATGCAGAATGCAATGCATAAAGAATATGTTAACACTTTTTACTCAGATTTTAGAAGTATTGTCAGCCCTGTTGACTGTATTTAGATAGTTTTGAGGGAGCAGCTTCAACTTTACCTGTCAAGGCCAACCCAGGCTAAATAGATTGGCCTGCAGTATCTTTGCAAAAAATACGTAGTTTTCAATAGCATAAACTTTCACACATAGGGTTTGAACTTTTGTCTTTGGCATATTCAGGTGAAGAGCCTAACAACTCCTCTCAAGACACTAGTTCTTATTGAATGATGTTGTGTGAACAGTACTGATGATGTATGCTTACAACAATAGCACAGTACTGATGTAAGCTTTCAACAATAGCATTTCCCTTGTTTAGAACTGTATTATCTTCAACAGAGTTCTCAGAAAGAAGAAAGCGAGGACACTTTCTACAGATACCTGTCTATGTATCAAGTGAGTGCTCTTCTTTTCTAATGCTCTTTTTTTTGTTCTTAGTTTACTGTCTAATAATAATAATAATAAATAGCATTTGTATAGCGCATATCCCCGCTCAACAGCAGGCTCTATGCGCTTTACACTAAATTAATACCCCAGCAGACCATGGAACACTCCGAATCATTCTCAGCTTCCCGGGAAGCATACAGTGCAAGCAGCTGATTAAGCGCTCAAACACTAACAAACTGACAAGATCTTTCGCTGTCTATAGCGGCTCTAGTCCCCATGTTTAGAATGTGAAGCAGAACTTAGGATGACAGATTACATCCTGGGCAAGTCACTTTTCTTTCTGAGATGTATCCACCTGCAAGTGATGCTTTTTTTTTCTTGGGGGGTGGGGGGGTCCTTCAAGAAATATTACAGAACAATCATGAAAATTACGCTGTCTCACAGTACAGCATTAAGATATAATACTGAAATAAAAGAATTAAACCAAGGCCTCGGAGCAAGCATATTGTGGTTAAAATTTTCTTACACTGGACTGAAATGATTTCCACTTGGTACAGGGACAGCATATTGTTGTTTATTAGCTTTTTTTCTATTGTTAATACAAGTCTATGAAAGAAATCATTTTCAATGTACAGATCTCGGTAACAGGTTCTTTAGCACTGAGGATTTAATTATTTTATGTTAGATTTGCATTCTATGCCCTTCCATTAGAGCTGGGCAATGAGTCGCTTTAGCAAAATCCGGATAATATGTTAGAGCACCTCTTCGGCAAATAATATGATTGAACCGCTTCTGCAAACGGGTTAGAACCACTTAGACAAACGGGTTAACATCACTTCAACAAATGAGTACACGCACTTCGGCAAGCTGGTCAGGAAAGAGAGTTTAAGAGTCTGAATTCAGACAATGTTTCATTGATAATTATCCGGTTATTCGGATAGATTATCTGGATTTTGCCCACCTCTACCTTCCATATAGATATGTCTCTGTAGGCCGAAAGCTTTCGGAGAGAAATTTTTGAAGAACTGAGTTTTAATTTCAAAGGACAGCTGTTTTGACGTTACCGTCATTTTTACAATTAATGTTTTTTCCTAAGGATCAAGTGAGCTCTCTCCACACGGCAGTCGAGGAGAGTGACGAGGAGACCGTGCGACACATCATCTATTTCCGTCATCCAGATGACCACAGTCTTGACCCATGCTTAGCAGACAGCCGAAGACCAGTGAGGCAAACTTTAGCTCGATTTTTTAAAACTTATTTTAAGACCATATTAGATGCAACAAATCGGCGCTTTCAAAGGAGGGCTAAGTTTTATGGAGTTTGTTTTTGTATGGTGTTTTACAGCGCTCGCAACTGCATAAGGTCATATGAGCGCGCGGGACACACCTAATATTTTCAGTTGGTAGGAAATTTTTTAATTTTGCCCGGGTGGCGGCCGAAGCCTACTCTTATCGATTTTAGACCACCAAGGGATCTTTAACGTGCGCAACTTGCACACGGGCCCTCCGAGATTTTTCGCCCTTGTCCGAGAAGGCTAGGTGTAGATCTTTCCTACCAGAAGATCAGGGGTGTGGCAGAAAGGCAGCAGTAAGGAGGAACGAAGGAGTAGCAGTAGAAAGGCTGCAGAAAGAGTCAGGAGCCCAGAGAAGGGGGCAAAGGAGGTGAGGGGGTGGGGGCAGAAAGTGGAAATGAAAGCAGACAACAGAATATTGCTAGAGAGCAGGAAAGGATGTGAAAGGAGACAATTTTAGAGGAGAAAATTTTTTTCGGTCGCTACCCGGAATCGAACCCGGGACCTTTGAATGAGAGGCCAACACCTTAACCTCCAGGCCACGAGAGCCCCCCTTATGAAGTTTTGATGGGACAGCCGGGTAAATCATATCCCCAGTATAGGCCTACAAGGAGAAAAGCCCTGACTTTCAAAATGAGGGCGTTTAGTCTTCTTTAAATAACATAGATGTCGTGTTACTTTCTCCCCAAAAGACTGTGTGTTCTCTCCGTTTGTATTGTGCCATTCTGCACGACAGGTAGCTGTGGATTGAATCTACAGTGAGGGATTCTTAAACGTGTATTTTATGGGGTGTTCATATATTATGACATGATTCTACTCCTTCCCTAATCTGTACTATCAGAGATAGTAATTCCTGAGGCATCGTAGTAAGATCAGGCACTCGTCAAAATAATGAAATCTGAGACAGCATTTTTCGGCAAGTATGGACATTTTTTTTTTCTTCGAATTTTTATGTTTTGGTTCAACACCTTGCATGTCCACTCAAAAACACTTTTATGTGTGAATTTTAATGGGAAATGATAAAAGGCAAAAAAAAGTGTACATTTTCAGTTTCTAAGGACTCTTAATCTACAGAAGTTCACCAAACTTTGGGGGCCATTTTCTCGCTAATCTGACTTATGAAACCAGGCGAACCCACCTCCTTCAATCGCAAATATGTCAACTTCTATTCAAGATAAAAGAATATTATTTGTTTCATAGAAAGAAAGGCAAATGAATAACCTTTAAGATGATACCAATAACTCCATATGCCCAATAATTGACAAGCACCTGATTTCACCTCGCCGTGACACAATTAATCTGAGGTTTAACTTCTTAAATAACCCAACTTTGTCCTAATGATAGTAACAACAATGTGCCGTACAATAGGCCTACCATGCATTGATTAGATCCAGATTACTTAAAACAGTGTACTTTAAGAAATCTTCTCAGAGCCTACCTTAGCGGTCTTCTTCTTCTTTTGTCACCTCAAAAGTTGGAAGACATGTATTACAATCTTTGATTCAAATTCCCTTTTTGATTTGTGGTTTTTCTTGCACCTATTTGAATATTAATTATTGAAGTAAATTAATGTTTTAGCCTATAGATAATTGTTTATCTGTTTCTCTTCTGAAAAGATTTTGGGGATAAAAAAAAGGAAGTAGGCCTATTGTTTACAACAGTGGTTGTACTTGTCCCTGTAATGTTTCTTTACCTAGTGCCATACTCGTAGATAACATCAAACACTCATAATAATTCAAATTGGATCGAAGCTGCTGATTTTTTGTTTTACCTAATCTTAGCCTGCTATAGTGTGGTATGGGTTATTACTTTTTTGTGTGTGTTTAACTCTCGTATTGTGCATGTCAGGGAGATGGACAGCCACTGCTGCACAAGGCTGTGCTCCGGGGCAGTGTGGGCGTGGTGCAGCTCCTGGCTGAGACGCTAGTCTACCAGAGGAAGCAACGACTGGACTCTATACGTGACCAGGTCAGTCCGTCCAAACCTTTTGCCATAATGCTTTTGTGAGGCAGCGTGGTGGAAACAGGCTCTCGTTAATTTTTGGGCATGTAGAGTTATTGGTATCATCTTAAAGCTTGTTCACTTGTCTTTATTTGGATGAAAAAAAATCCATTTGTCTTGAATACAAGTCAAGATATTTGCAAAAGAAGGAGGTGGGGGTCACCTGTTTTCAGAGGTAAAATTAGTGAGAAAATGGCCGCCAAAGATTAGTTATTTTCTTAGCTTAAGAGTCCGTGGTAACTGAAAATTTACTTTTCTTGTGCCTTTAATCAACGTTTTTCAGAAAAATCCACACAGAAATGAGTTCTTTTATGGGCAAGAAAGGTGTTGAGCCAAAAAACAAACATTCGATAAAAATTCACAAACATGCGGAAAAAAGCAAGTTTCTTCACTTTGATTATTTTGACGAGAGCCTGATTCCACCACGCTACCTCACATATAGGTTTTGCTGTCAGGTCACTACCTTAGGTCAACGGTGGGTTCAAATCCTCTTCCCGGCCCCAAATTGTGTCATTGGGAAAGACAATTTGTTCTACACCAATTTTTCTTTCTTCAGGATGGTGGGAAGAACCTGACTGAGACAACCTAAGAGGGGAGCATATCTTTCTCATCTTTCTCATCTTTCTCATCTTTCTCATCTTTCTCATCTTTCTCATCTTTCTCTGAATACTTTTTTCCCATCTAGGAGTCCTCATTATGACAAATTATTCCTTCTATAAAAAGACTCACATGTACAGCAGCCTCCAGAAAGTCATCATTATTGCCTTTCTCACCCTGCACCAGGGTATAGGCCACGAATAAACACTTTCTCACCCTGCACCAGGGTATAGGCCACGGACAAACACTTTCTCACCCTGCACCAGGGTATAGGCCACGAATAAACACTTTCTCACCCTGCACCAGGGTATAGGCCACGGACAAACACTTTCTCACCTTGCATCAGAGTATAGGCCACGGACAAACACTTTCTCACCCTGCACCAGGGTATAGGCCACGGACAAACACTTTCTCACCTTGCATCAGAGTATAGGCTACGGACAAACTCTTTCTCACCTTGCATCAGAGTATAGGCCACGGACAAACACTTTCTCACCTTGCATCAGAGTATAGGCCACGGACAAACACTTTCTCACCTTGCATCAGAGTATAGGCCACGGACAAACACTTTCTCACCCTGCATCAGGGTATAGACCACGGACAAACACTTTCTCACCTTGCATCAGGGTATAGGCCACGGACAAACACTTTCTCACCTTGCATCAGAGTATAGGCCACGGACAAACACTTTCTCACCCTGCACCAGGGTATAGGCCACGGACAAACACTTTCTCACCTTGCATCAGAGTATAGGCTACGGACAAACTCTTTCTCACCTTGCATCAGAGTATAGGCCACGGACAAACACTTTCTCACCTTGCATCAGAGTATAGGCCACGGACAAACACTTTCTCACCTTGCATCAGAGTATAGGCCACGGACAAACACTTTCTCACCCTGCATCAGGGTATAGACCACGGACAAACACTTTCTCACCTTGCATCAGGGTATAGGCCGCGGACAAACACTTTCTCACCCTGCACCAGGGTATAGGCCGCGGACAAACACTTTCTCACCCTGCACCAGGGTATAGGCCGCGGACAAACACCCTCCACTTTTCTCTATCCTGGGCTAACCTCTTGATGTTATTCCATGTCTCCCTACTTTTCTGTACATCGATTTCTGTGATTCTTCTCCAGGTTCCAAGAGGTCTTCCCCTTGATCTCCAGAAAGTACCCTTAGTAAAGTTATATTATTATAACTAGGACTAAATTATCTAATTTTTCTTGTCCAATCATCCCCAGTATTTCCGTACTGCCCTGCACTACGCTTATGGCCTGGAACAAGGCAAGGAGTTGGTGAACTTACTTCTGGATTATGGGGCTTCGGAGTTTACTATGGACAAGGTAAGTTGGACAAACTTTTGTCTTCTCTACATAACTTTCTTAATATTCCAAAGGCATGCTGTTTGTTCACGTCAGGCAAACTGTCAGCTCAGTTGGTATCATGCTGGACTATGGAGCAGATGGCTTTGGTTCAAATCCACAATGAGATGTTTTCAATTTCGGTTGATGTGCGGAGATTTTGAGGCTCTCCATCCTTTTAGATGGGCCTGATTTGGTGTGGAGATGAAATTAGGCGGTCCTGCCTCTTCTTTCACAAAAGATTTGTTTCATGACAGTCATGTGTGAGGCAACGTGGTGGAATCAGGCGCTCGTCAAACTGCACAATTGGAGAAACAGGCATTTTTACGCCAGTTTGGAAATTTTTCTCGAAGTTTTATTTTTTGGCTCAACCTCTATTATGGCCATATAAAAATACATTTCCGTGTGAATTTTACTGAAAAATGTTAATTAAAGACACACAATATGTCATTTTTCTGTTTTCAAAGACTTTTTTGCTATTGGAGTTGCAAAACTTTGGCTGCCATTTTCTTGCTAATTTCACCACTGAAACCTGGTGACCTCATTTGCTTCAATCGCCAATATTTGGTGTTTTTTTCCTGATAGATGGATGTTTATTTCAAATGAATCAAGGTAAATAAACCAGCTTTCGGATGATACCAATAACTCCACATTCCCAAAAATTGACGAGCGCCTGATTCCAACGGGCCGTGACACATATGCATTTGCTACATTTGTCAATAATCAGTGTATTTTGCCAGTGATACATCAAAAATGTTTTTGTTAGATATAAGTGTGCTGCATTTTAATTAATTTATCAGATGGATATATTTTAACAGCAGTAAAACCTTACCATTTTTATATTTCAGGACAACCGTTCACCTCTTGCTTTCAAGGATAGGCGGGGTCAAGCATTGATGAATGATCTTCTTGAATATCATTATCTCCAGGTTTGTATTGAACAACATACTTATTATACTTTAAAATCGAAGGCTACAGTCAATTGTCCTGTTTTTGTCTTGTTTTGTACATAGTTTGTCAACAAAGAGCAAGTACTGTGTTAATGAATCTTGACCTAAGTAGGCCTACCATACAGGACATATTTGTATAGCCTGGTCTTCTTTGGAAATTTGAAAATTTGTGCTGATGAAGTATTCTTTATGTAAGGAAATTTCAAACTTTCATTCTTGACAAGTCTTTTGGAGAGCAAAGATTTCAGGTTCCATTAACAATTATTTTATCACGTAAAATATTCATGTACTAAATCAATAACTAATAAACTCCAATGCTCTTTATACCATTCTACATTCACTCGTGCAATGATTTCAGGACTTCAGTGAGCCAGAGCCAGATCCCTGGAGCATCCCAATGCCCATACCGATGATTGACTACCTACTGACCGCCTGTCCTCACTCAGGTCACACGTCCTATCTGTCCTCTCCCAGTCTGGAGCACCTGACTTCCCACTTGACCACTGGTCACTGCATCACAAGCTTGCCCAGCACTGAGCTGGCTACTACTGAGTCCTCTCATCCTGCAAGCCCACTGGCCAAGTCTCACAAATACAAATCGGTCTCCGACACAAAGCTTCATCGACTGACTCCCGCAAAACCAGGGCTCGCTGCTCAGCTGGCAAATTTCCCTGATGCGGTGAAATCACGGTTGTCCAAACGTCCGCATCATCAGAAAAATGGGGTTGATGGAGTTCACAAGGATTACCTCCCTTTACCGCTTGATGCTCCGAGAGACAGTGAGGATGACTACGACTATGAGGAAGACGGAACAGACTCGAAAGACTTGCTGGATGAGAAAGAACTGCGGAAGTCAACATCATGCACTGTTCAGTGACGGAGTTGTCTCTCTTTTTCAGTCCTCCCTTTGTTTTACTGGTCTGTTCCAAGTGCTTTTTCATGTTGAAAAAGAAAGGTGAAGATCCCTCCCCACCTCTCCACCCCCTCAACCTCCGTCTGTAGTATGTCTGATAGCGACAACATCTGGATTTGAACCCGGGACCTATTGAATGAGAGGCGAACACTTAACCTCTAAGCAACGAGAGCACCCTGGAGGTGTTTGAGTACTTTTGTCTTCTCAGATACTACAAGCAACTTGAGATCCTGTTGTTCGAATCCGAATAGGGATGGAACATTTTTTTCTCTAAAATGTTCTCCGATCATATCCTTTCCTGCTCTCTAACAATGTTCTGTCGTCTGCTTTCGTCCTCACTTTCTGCCCCCATCCCCCTCACCTCCTTTGCCCCCTCCTCTGGACTGCTGACTCGTTCTGCAGCCTGTCTACTGCTACTCCTTGGCTCCTTCTTACTGCTGTCTTTCAGCCACACCCCTGATCTTATGGTAGAAAAGATCTACACTTAGCTTTTTTGGACTATGGCGGAAAATCTTGGAGGTTCCGTGTGCAAGTTTCGCACGTTAAAGATACCTTGGTGGTCTAAAATCAATAAGGAGTAGGCTTCGGCTGCCACCCGGGGAAAATTCAAAATTTCCTACCAACTGAAAATGTTTTGGTGTGTCCCGCACGTTCATTTGACCTTAACGTGTTGTCAGCGCTGAAAAACACTTGCCTCCAAAAAAAATTTTTTATACCACCTGCCCAAAGGCTTAGATGTGTAAGACTTGTAAGGGGGTGGGGAGCATATGGAGTTGATGACGATGTTTTTTTCAACCATTACCATACATTCGTAGTTCTACCCGGAAGAAGGGAAAGGTTGTGACTAATTGTAACCATCTGTGAACAAATCTTGTATGTATCTGTAGATTTTCAAGATGCTGATGATTTCTCTTTTGCTGCTTTTAAACCACTTTATTTGTTGACCTAATTCTTTTGAACAAGTTTTCTATACCAATTTGACATTGTTGCGTTTTATTCACACAATGTGCAATACAAAGAATTTTGTTTTGTTTTCAAAATATATATAATGTGAGGCTCTGAAAGGACCCGTATATATATATGTGAGGCAGCGTGGTGGAATCAGGCTCTCGTCACCTTTTAGGCATATTGACTTATTGGTATCATCTTAAAGCTTGTTCATTTGTCTTGTGTTCAACGAAAAAATGACCCCTCCATCTTCAATAGAAGTGGAGATATTTTGGATTGAAGGAGGTGGGGGTCACCTGGTTTAAGAGGTAAAATTAGCGAGAAAATGGCCGTCAAAGCTAGGTAAATTCCAAAGCTGGAGAGTCCATGGAAACTGTAAATTCATATTTTTGTGCCTTTAATCAATGTTTTTGGTGAAATCCTCAAAGGAATGTGTTTGTAAATGGACATAAAAGGTGTTGAGGCAACAACAAAAAAATAAATAAAAATTGCTACGCAGGGAGAAAACGGCTGTTTTCTTCGATTTCATTATTTTGACGAGAGCCTGATTTCACCACGCTGCCTCACATATAATATATTCTTAGGTACCTCTTTAAATGAGAAGAACCCTGTAACTGTGACTCTGTGCCAATTTTGTTCAGTTTGGTCCCATAAAACTTGAACCTTATTTATCTGACTAATTGTTTGCGTGCTCTAGGTATAGTTTTTTAGCCTGTTTTTGAAGTATTTTTCCCTCTTCTTACGAAGAATTTTAATCAGATCCTTGGTCTTACCCCTTTTGTATTCTGTACTCATCTTTACATATTGCAGAAAATGTGTATGGCATATCAGCAAACCAAAATAGTACAATCTTTTATTTCCAGAATATTCCGTTGGACCTGTGAGTGATATATTTACCGTCGCTTTGTCAGAAAATAAGAGATCCCTATTTTCATGAATTTTCTGTCCTACTGTTTTGAATGTCAACAAGCTCTACATACTATTATTAGCTTATTTTTTGTATAAAATATGCATGATTATACTTGTTTCAATGTACTTTGCTAAAATAAAGAAAATATGCTCACCATCATAGATTCACTGATTATACTCATGTTGCAACGAGTGTCAGAAGAGCTAGTTGTATCTGTTTACTAAAGATACCCACTGACTCATATATGGCTCGGTCCAATGTAGTGTCATTGGTAACGGCACTTTACACAAATTTTCTATTTATCTCAGTTGTTTCGGAGATGGCTGTTAAAAAAATCTGAGAGGTCAACTCTTAAATGACTGGACAATGTTGAAGGGGGTGTTGAGCCTAGTCTATAGGCCTACAAAAATTTCACCATTTTTCACACCTTTGCTGATATGGCATGAACAGGAATTTTGAGTTTATGAAAGCAAATCAAAGTTGCAGCCTAAGGCAATATTTGTGAGGGAGCGTGGTGGAATCAGGCTCTCGTCAATATTTGGGTATATTGAGTTATTGTTATCATCTTAAAAGCTTGTTCATTTGTCTTGCTTTCAATGAAGAAATTACAAATCCATCTTCAATAGAAGTGGAGATATTTTGGATTGAAGGAGGTGGGGGTCATCTGATTTAAGAGGAAACATTAGCGAGAAAATGGCCACCAAAGCTTGGTAAATTCTAAAGCTGGAGAGTCCATGAAACTTGTAAATTTATATTTTTGTGCCTCTGATAAACATTTTCAGTGAAATCCTGAGAGGAATGCGTTTGTAAATGGATAATAAAGATGTTGAGCCTAAAAACAAACATTTGATAAAAAATTGCTAAGCAGGGAGAAAGCTGCTGTTTTCTTCGATTTCATTATTTTTACGAGAGCCTGATTTCACCACGCTGCCTCACATTTGCTCTAAATATAATTATAGTCAAGCAAGTCTTTCTTATTTTAACAACCCTTGACAAAGAAGACTCGAGTCCTGTTATTCCCATGCCTACAGCATTCAAGGATTCTGCTAAAAAAAAAGCCCCATCAAATTGTAATAATGATGTAATGCCATTATATTGTGATTAGTAACACTGCATACAAGTTGTATAACATAAATGTCTAGAAAGATAGGAAATACGACATCCAAATGTGTGTCTCTCTGGAGCCATGGTGATGCTGTTCGTCCTTCGCATTTGAAGATGACCATGACTTCACAAATTGGTCTGTTGACATACAAGCCATGTTGATAAAATCATCCTCAAGGCATCCCCATATTCACCTTCATATCAACGTTTCTTTCTTTTTTACCACTAGTAGGACTAAGAATTAAACTTTTTGCAATATCTTAGATCTCTTACCTTGCAAGTGATTCCATTACTTACAATCTAGTTTTTTGAGTCTACTTAAGTTACTCATTTTCTCAAGGACGTAAGGCTCAGCTTTTTATTTATAAAATATTTACTTCACGGATGTTTAGATAGAACTAGGTGGGCCCCCTTTCGATGAAAGGAATGATCGGTGCTTTAATATCAACTAAAAGTCATAGGCCTGCTATATTTACACTCTACTGGAATGGGGCAATACATCTTGCGAGATGAAAAAAATTAGAAGGTCTAGATCTGTAGGCCTACTCTCAAAACAAAACGCGCCTCGCGAAATATCACTTCCGGGTTTTCTAAAATTACAGAGACAGAAGCGTCGGCCTACAAAAGCCATCAACGAAATAAAAAAGTTTAGCTTTTTTCAGCAAAACTGTCAAAAAACAGAAAAAAAACAAGGGCGTCATGCTCTGGACAATGTTTTAAAGAATCTTTTGGCGAAAACCGCATGTCGATCGATGCAGCCATTAAAAAGCCTTTTGTATAGCAAAATTCGGCCACCACAAATAGATAATAGATATTGGAAAATTTACAACCCTCCTGCTTTTGAGATTGAGCTCAGGGGAGATAAAAAAAAAAAAGATGAAAAGCAGCAAGATATAAAAAATAAGATATCTAGAGCTTTCAGAAATGTAGCTTACAATAATTAGTCAAATTTAATAGTCTACAAATGTTTTTAAACACAGCTAGGACAGTATGCAGTGTAAAATATGAGGCTACTTGTAAGTTATCATACAAAATATCATGCCACATAACCTGATATTCTTTGACTTTACAATTACTTTTTGAATCGCTGCACTGTTTCCAGCGTGTCCCTTTTGATTTAATTGTCAGTATCAATAGTACATTTATTACATTGTGTGACGAGGATGGACATCATCATTTTTATATTATTATCATTACTATTGGTATTGTCACTTTAATTGATATTGATAATATTACGATCATTTTATCACTGTTACCATTATTGTTATTATTATTATTATTATTATTATTATTATTTTATTATTATTATTATTATTATTATTATTATATATATGATTATCATCCTCATCATAATCATGATCATCATTTTTATTATTAATATTATATTATTATTATTATTTTTATTATTATTATAATCATCATTCTTTAAATTAGGCCTATTATTGTCATCATCATCATTAGGCTATTATAATTTTTTCTTCATTATTATTATTATTATTTGGCTATTATTAGGCTCTATTATTATTATTATTATTATTATTATTATTATTATTATTATTATTATTATTATTATTATTATTATTATTATTATAATCATCATTGTTCCTATAATAATTTTCACAAGTATGTAAAAATTATGATGTTGTAGATTTAAAATAAGTGAGTTTCATGGCAGTTGCAATAATGTATTCTGTGGGTGTGTCCTTTTTCTGTGGTTAAATGTCTATGATATGGAAGAACAGATTTGCCAATTACTTGTACTGTGTGATTGCTTCAGCATTACGCTTGTCAATAAACTGCTCTCCACATCATATCTTTGTTGAGGCTTATTGAATTTTTAGTAATAATAATGATTGCATTTTTTAGCGCATATCCACGCTCAAGAGCATGCTCTGTGCGCTTTACAACTATTATTACCCCAGCAGACCCTCTGAGAACATTCAGGAACATTCTCGGCTTCTGCGGAAGCTTACAGTGCAAGCTGCGGATTTCACGCGCTCAAACACTAACAAACTGACAAGATCGTTCCCTGTCTATAGCCGGGTACTCATTTCCACCTGGGTGAAGTGAGGAAAATTTGTGCAAAGTGCCTTTCCCAAGGACACAACGTCGGGCCCCTGACGGGATTCGAACCCACGACCTTACGGTTGCGAATCCAAGAGCCCTGAAAAGGATTGAAAAATGTTAATCAATTATTCTCCCTCCTATTCAAGGTCTCATGTTGTGTTTTCATTTATCTTCAACATACAGGGGCATTCATTTTGTTATTTAATTTTCAATATGTTTTTTAAAATTATCATGTGAGGTTTGGTCTTAAAATATGTTTGAAATAAAAATTAAAAAAATATTTTTAAAAAAAAAAAAGGATGATGAACAACACCATTGACCTCTGTTTATTTCTGTGGAGGGATTTCTATTAGTTTTAGTTTTAGTAGAGGTTTTACAGCGCTCGCAACTGCATAAGGTCATATGAGCACCAGAAGATTAGGTGTTACAAGAGAGTAACAAACATAAAAAGAAGAAGGAGAGATAAGGACGATAGATGTTTGATAGGAAAGAAGAAGCAAACCACAGCAGAGCACGGGATTTCTATATCCTTTTGGGAATCTTTAGTAGGTTTTGCTTTGGTCAGAGGGAAGTGGATGGATAAGATGAGGCACAGCGCTAGGCACATTAATTGAAGGACTGCTGATGATGCTGATGATGTTGTGAATGCCTCCTAAGTTTTCTTAGTCACATACTGAGGAAACGTATCAAATGAAAGCAGTAGACAATTTTATTTTTGTTTTATACATTCAATACAATCTGCAGAAGAAAACAATCATAATAGATTTTCCAATCACAATTAACTGTTTGAGACAAACGTCCTGATCACAAAAAAACGGTGTCTTTTGAGACAGCACAAAAAAGATATGTTATCACATATATTATGAAAAGCATAATGTCAATTTTATTCAAACAAAATACCATATTGACACATTAACTAAAACATTGAAATTGTGCATGTTGTGAAGACAACTTTCAAATATTTTACATAACACTTTGAAGAAGCTTCCAACAGAAAAATAGTAGAAATTAAGATTAAGGCACAGAATTCTACACTTAAGTGTAGAATTCTGTGGAATAAGGAGACCTTAAATTCTGTTATAAAAATATAATATTACTTTATACAACATGATTTCTGGTATGATATTTCAGCGTTGTAAAACAGTTTAAGACAACAGTAATGGGTAGGGAAAGGGTTACAGGTTAAAATCTCAGAAATTGCTAAAACGTGGAGTGGTGAATAAGTCTCTGTTCTTATAAATAACATTTTCAAAATACCACTAATGCAACTGTGAAACAAATATTCAGTTTTGTTAAACCCTAGGCTGTTGAAATGTAAAGACTCCTAAAAATCAACTTCATCATCAATGCCATTACCCCTGGCAGGGTATAGGCCACATACAAGCTCATGCATTTATCTCTGTTCTGGGTCATCCTTCCAAGCTCGTTCCTTGTGAGCTTCATCTCTCTCGTCCCTTTCAACTCATCTGCTCCTTGTTTTCCGTGGCCTACCCCTGTCTCGTGCTCCCTGTGGGTTACATTGCAGCGACTGTCTTGTGATGTTTCCGCTGGGTTTTCTGAGAGTGTGTCCCATCCATCGCCACTTTCTTAGTCCTATTTCTACTTCTATATCCTTTGTCTTGTCCTTTCCCACATAAAAAATCAACAGCCAAAATAATATAATGTATGGGTAACATAAGATAGAGCACGTTGATTTACAATGTCACTTTTTAAAAGTTTAATGTTTAATTATTATTCACCATCCTAAGAAGCAGAACTGATAATCTTGTAGAGAGAGGTTGAAATGCAGAAAATAATTTAGCGGTCATTTGAGTTGAAAACAGGGACAGCTGTTAATAAGAATGTGGACGTAAACATTTGTAGAACGTTTTGATCGCACATCATTATCTCGCAAAAGGCAGTAGGATTAACAGAAAGGAAATGTAATATTTGGGTGTGACTTATATTTTCCTAACAGAATAAAACGTTCAAAGTATCGATCTGAAATCTAACTGGGTCATGTTTTTAAAAAACCACTGCTATAATTTATTACTTTGGGCTCCCTCGCACAGCACAGACTTGCATCATAGACATTGGCAGGGGCGTATCAGCTGTTAAATATTTTAAAAAAACAGCAGTCGCGGCAGCCACTAAATATCCATCTCTCCTCTTCCCACTTAAAAAAGAATACTAGTTGCTTGAGTCGGCGCATGATCGGTTTATCATGGGGCTTCAACCCCCCTCCGCCCCCTCCACCTACAAGCCCCCATTCCGTGTGGCCCTTAGGGCACGTGTCCTCCCATAACCGAGCTACATCTCTGAATACAGGCCGCACAATATAAAAACTTAAACGTATCGAACAAGTCGTAGAGATCAAATCCCAATGTATTATAAACTTTAAGATCATCGGGAATAATGTGTGACCTTGGCAACTGTGAAGAGATCAGCAGAAGAACAAAAAAAACAAAAAAAGAAAGCTTAAATCGTTAGGAATTATTTGTTCTTTCTCCGGGAAACCCACAGAGTCACATCTTCTTTGGAAAAAAACACAAAAAATCCCCCCAAAACAAAATCCAAAAATAAAACAAACATAAAAGAGACAGCTCAGTTCCCTCTAGCGCTGAGGTCAGAGGTTATTTGCTGGTCTTGCTCACAACTGTGATGTCCAGCTTGTCCCTCGTTGATCGCCAGGACATCACCTCCACTGCGGTGTATCCCAGCATGCCAACGCCCAGCACACACATGCACACGTACAACTTCACACTGGAGAACGATCAGATGAGATGAGAAAAGTAGATCATTATAATATTTTATGATTGTATTGCATAGAACCCCCCCCCCC